AAGAACCTCCTCTCCACCCAACTTTGTAAATATTATAGTAGAATGGAATAATGTTTCTTAGCAGTCACCTATTGCTTGTGGATAGTGGTCTTTCCAAACCAAAATTTCTGTGTTTTATCCAGAGTTTTGTTTGAGAAGATTAAAAATTTGGATAGTTCAATTAAAAACTAGCGTTATAACGTCTAAACCTGGTGATCTAGTTATTCCTAATACGTATGTGTATACTCTTGGTTTTGGGAAGTCTTTAGAAACAAAATGTGGATTTTTAAGGCTGTTGACAAACAGGGTATTAGATATCAAAATCGGTAATATTTCTTAACATTATCTGCTATTTCCTGTTACAAATTCCAGGTTTCTCTCACTGACTTGCAACTGTGAAATGGTGACTACTCAGGCTGAAAACCTGTATACAAGGGAACTGCTTTAGGCTAAATCTGGGAGGGGTGGGAGTAAGGGAGTCTGGTTTTTAAACTGTTTCACAGAAGCAAGTTGAACTGTGTTTTTTTGTTAAGTTAAAACATTCGTGAGAACTTCTAAACGCCTGGGTGCTTCTCTGCATTTGAGCAGAGACTTCATGCTTTACAAAAGGGAAGAGTGGTCTCTGCCACCTGAGAGAAATCTGCTCTGCTTGGCTAAGCTGTAACTTTGAAAAATCACAGGTTGCTCATGCTTAGCAGAGAGTTATTTGATTTTAACAGCTAAAATGTCCAAAGACTTGGTCCTCACTGAGTGTGCTCTGGCCTCTTAGCTCCCAGTACTACCCAGACTGCCTGTGTCACCCCAGAATGACGGAGTGTGCCTCAGCATCTCAGCTCCAATGTGTGACTACGCGTGGGCCACTCCATGCAGTGGCTGAACGTACTTCAGCCCATGGCTACGACTGCTCAGAAGGACTTTCCCTCTCACTGCTGTCCCCAGCTGCTCCTGGTCATAGCACCGAGGCTTTTTGTGGTCTCAATGGTATTGGGCAGCGCAAGGAAGGAAGCTCTCTGATGTGAAGGCAGAACCAACAAAAGCTGAACAGAATGGTTGGCAAGAGGTCTGGGCTGGAGCTGAGGCAGGGAAGCCCTGAATAGGAGTTGAAGGAAAGGCTGATCCTATTTACTGGCCATGAGGTGGGAAGGGCAGGCTGGAATTAACTGGATAAGCAGACTGGGAGGCTGGGAACAGGTTCGACGTTGGTCAGAGAAGGAGACTGAGAACAGATTGTAACATTTTGGGGAGCTGATAGTTATGGGAAAAAGAACATTGATGTTAGAGACAGAGCTCGGAATGGATCTGTCTAGTGGGAAGAGCTGAACTGAGGACCAGTGGCGAAGTAAATGGCATGGAGCATCCAAAAGTCTTGCCAGGAAGCTGGAGAGCAAGCTAGAAAAACAGGGCATAGGCCAAGGATTGGATGGAGGGAGGTGCTGCTGCTGGTGAACCTAGAAAGGAAGATTGAGCCTGAGTATTACTAAAATTGAGAAGAGTAGATGGGAGTGATGGAGACTGTCCAGGAAAGGCAACTGAGATAGAAGCCTCTGGTGTGGATTGCTGAGGAAAGGAGGATGAGCCATGGAGCTGGGAAAGCAAGTCATGGCTGGGATAGGGGTGGGATGGATGAGGCAGGAAGGGTCAGACTGGACCAGAGCTGTCTGACTGTATTCATTCAGGGCCTAGAATGGACCTGTGAGTGATGAGCCATGTGTGTAGTCTGTTGATGGCCTGTATTTGTGTTGCCCTGAAGCACTGAGCCTTTTGACTAGGGTCATCCGGATGGTGCGCATCCTTGAGCATCCTTATCCCCAGTCGCCACGTGGTTCAGAGTGCCTTTTGGTTTTGGTATGGATTCTGTATTATGAGCCACTAGATCCCCTTTTTTTCCCTTTGTGTGCAAGATTGATTGTGGCTGCACCCCACAGCCATTATCAATGCCAAATCTGTGCTTTGGCTTATAATCCCCATTGTTAAAATGCCAGCAATCACCGCAGTGTATCTCAAGAAGAGGTACTTTTACCCCGACTGATTAGCTAGTGTGAAGAAGATCTCATCAGTGTTCTAAGGCTTTTTTTTTTTTATAATCTCTCTATGCTGTTTTATATCTTAGGCTTGAAAATCATATTGCAAAACTGCAGCTTAATTCCTGTCCGCAAGGTTGTGTTTGCTGGAACAGTGTTGGGCTCCGCTGGCTTCCAAGTTAAAACTCCATGAAACATTGGCCTCAGTCCCACTGGATTTATGGACTTTGCAACACACACATGCCAGACTATGCTCTGAGCGTGCCCAGGGCTGAGTACTGTCATCATCATGTACCTTCCCAAAATGTAGGCAAAGAATACAGATGCCTCTTGCTTAGGAACCGGAAGACCTGTGAATGGTGTGCTGGGCAGAGGAGCTCACAGAAGATGTCAGTGGAAAACCATCTTTTTAAATTAGGGCAGAGCCCAACACCAGCAAATACCTCCTCCTTCAAAGGATGTCAGCTGGCATACTCCTTTGTCTGTTTCACTCATCTGCCATCAAGAGACAGATCGAGTAGATACTTTCTGCTTGCAAATGGAGGACCAAGAACTCTGTCATCTGATAACATCTTTTCAGAGAAAAGGTGGTATTGGGTAGATTTGTACATGGTAGTGTAATAGCAAGTGTCAAAACCTATCCTAAAGGGGAAATGGAAAACAAGATAACCTGTCTGAAATCTTTACGATTCTGCTATCAGTAGTTCTCATGTATCTTTCTTATCAGCCCGGCTGAGCACTTCACGAAAGCAGGCTGAGCTCAGCTGAACAAATAGCTTTGGCCTGGCTATGATGCTTTTAGTTCTCAGATACTCCAAATCTGTTTTGCCATCAGCTAAAGAACCTCTTTTTCCTGTATGTCACAGGATCAGAAGTTGTATTCCCATTCAGGCCATAGCTTGGCTGCTGCTTTTATCAGTTGGAAAAAGTTATGTTCTTCCCTGGTCACAAGTGCTTATCAAACAGGAGAAAGGGCAGGCTCTGTTAAAAAGACTAGATGTTATGTAGGGTCAGTGGACATGTGACTCTGTTGACCTGGGTTGGATGTCTATCTGAGGCGGAGGTAAACTGTGGAGTGCATAGATAAGTTAGTTTGCTTTTAACCATATGTGCTGAAGATCTCTGAATTTGAAGTTATGCTTCCAGTGTGCAGGCATCTTGTGTGGATTTTGAAACTTGAGGGAAGCAAGACTATTTCAGATTTCACTTTAATTCTCTGCTGCTGAGAGGAGGTGGAGTAAAACCAACTTGTGTCTGAGAATATCAAGGTGCCTGATTTCAAGACAGCCTGTTATAGGACTTTAGTATGGTATACTGTAGTATAGGTCCTATATTCTCAGTCTCCTTAGAGTTTAGGTGAACTCAGCTGTCAAGGTGTTTCTACATGAAGTGTAAAGCAGTTCCTTTAGGGACCTGTTCTTATCAGCAGAGGATGTGATAACTGAAGCCTCCAGATTTGATGTTGTATTTTGCAAGTGCCATTTTTCATTCTTAAGACTACAAGTCCCTGCCTCCAGTATTAGAAAAATATGCATATGACAATAACTAGAAGGAGGTAAGGCAATTATTTACCTATGCAAATAACTGGCATCCTTTGATAAGTTATTTATATGCATATTCCACATTCTGCCCTACATCATCTCTAGCTTGGATTTTCTTCTTCCTGGTGTCCTTTGGTAGATGAAAAGTGGCTGGTGTTTGAGTGTTCTGCGTTTTTTGCTCTTGACATTAGGCAGAGGACATTTGAGTGCACCATCAGGATGCTACTGGCCAAAGCACCCAGAACCTGGGGGAGTGGGGTGAGCACGCAGCTAGCAGGATGTGCCTGTTGTTGGCACATCTGAAAGAACTTCAGTTACCATGCAGGTAAGTATTATGTTGGATTTTTTTTTTCCCCTGATGCAATTTTCCTCTGCTATCAGCACCAATCTGCAAAACCCCCTGGAGAAGTCTGGGTCTCTTTTCTTGCTTTATGCTCATCTGCACAATGGGTGGTGATCTGTTCCTGCTGTCTGCTGCTGCATTAGCTCCACCGGCAGAGCTCTGGGAGGAAGGTTTGAAACTTCCAGGCCTGCAGCCTTGTAGGGGTGAATATAGCTGGATCACATGGGATCTCTTCTCAGTCTCCTCCTTTACAGTCCAAGTTAGACACTCCAAAGTTAGGAAATGCCACAGCTGAGGTTGCCGCTCTAATTTTTAATGTAGGCCCAGTGTGTATTTGTGGTGTGATACTGTTTCTGATTGTCTGATCACACATTATTTTTTCCTCACATCAGTGGCCTACTTGTTGCAACCATGGTTCTAATATTTGCTAAAATATAAGTGCTTGTCTTTGCAACTTTGATAATGTTCCTTGAAAGTTTTGCCTGAGTAGTTGTGAAAGTTTTCAACAGACACTGTCTGTTTCTTAAACAATTGTCTGTGAATATGCAGATTGGCCTTTAAATCTCCAACATTCAGTTGGCTGATATGCCTCCACCCAGATAGAGCTGCTGAAGGGAGAGGCTGCGGTGCAGACCTCAGACTGCAGCTAGAGCCCAGACCTTTCTCCTGGGGCAGAGACAGGTGGGGACCTGCCTGAAAAAGGTGTGCCCAGGTGGAGGAGCTCCTGGGTTGAAGGCTGAGCTGAAGGAGGCTGTGAGAAGCTGTGTAGCATCAAGGAGGCTGAGAAGGAGTTAGATAGCTGGTTCCAAGCACAGTCTGCAGGGGATCCACAACCCGTGACTAAACAGCCAAAACCTCCCCCACTGGCACACACAGAAGGGAAGAAGGCCAATAATGCAGAAGAATGGAAGTTTTCAGTGGCAAGGACCAGCAGAAGGAAGAGGCTTCCCCCGAAGCATTTGGTGCCCTTTTAGAACTGTTTCACCACTCTGCAGGCTGAAGAAGAAGGACCCGTCACATCAGCAGAGATGCTGAAGCTGAGTAAGGCAGCCCAATCTGCTTCTCATGTAACCACCAGTGCCACTCAGAAAAGGCGACAGGTGATAGTAGTAGGCAACTCTCTTCTCAGAGGTATGGAGGCACTCGTTTCCCAACCTGACCTTCTCTCTAGAAAGGTGTGCTGCTTGCTACCCATTGTATTTGAGAAGTTTTGTCAGTCTGAAGTTCCCACTGACTGGAAAAGAGGAAACATAACCCCCATCTTTAAAAAGGGAAAAAAGGAAGACCCGGGGACCTACAGGTTGGCTGGTCTCACCTCTGTGCCCAGCAAGATCATGGAGCAGATCCTCCTGGAAAATATGCTAAGGCATATGGAAAACAAGGAGGTGATTGGTGACAGCCAATATGGCTTCACTAAGGGCAAATTATGCCTGACAGATTCGGTGGCCTTCTACGACAGGGTCACAACGTTGGTGGATAAGGAAAGAGCAACGGACATCATCTACCTGGACTTTTGCAAAGCATTTGACACTGTCCCACACAACGTTCTTGTCTCTAAGTTGGAGAGACATGAATTTGACAGATGGACCACTCGGTGTATAATGAACTGGCTGAATGGTCACACTCAGAGTTGTGGTCAATGACTCCAAGTGGAGACTGGTGACAAGTGGTGTTCCTCAGGGTTCAGTACTAGGACCAGTGTTGTTTAACATTTTTGTGGGAGACATGGACAGTGGGATTGAGTGCACCCTCAGCAAGTTTGCCAATGACACCAAGCTGTGTGGTGCGGTTGACACGCTGAAGGGAGAGCATGCCATCCAGAGGGACTTGGGCAGGCTTGAGAGGTGGAACCATGCCAACCTCATGAAGTTCAACAAGGGCAATGTCCTGCACGTGGGTCAGGGCAATCAGAAGCACAAATACAGACTGGGAGGAGAATGGATTGAGAGCAGTCCTGAGGAGAAGGGCTCGGGGGTGTTGGTTGATGAGAGGCTCCCATGAACCGACAGCTAAACGTATTGTTGAAATCCTTTGGATTTTAGACAGAGAGAATTATGTAGATTTCCACTAGGTTTTTCATGAAAGTTATTCTTTTTGTGGTAGTTACCTTTATTTAGTTGATAAAAAGAAACAAAGTGTCATTAATAGGACACTAATGGGCTGTAAATTTCTTACTCTTTTTACTGACAGATGTAAATCCAAAACAAAAACCAGAAGGCGGGGACACTGGATACTTCTAAAATGAAACAAGATGTGAATATGATTTTTATGATTATTTAGGGCAAAACATTCCCTTCTCCTTCATTCTAAGTGTTTCAGTAGAGTTCTTATGTGAGAAATAATTTGAGTAGGGGCCAAACTGTGTAAGTTAATGAATTATACTGATCGTTACAGTTTAAATAAACTTAGAAAGACATGTCTGTATTTCCTCTATAACAATTAGAAAAAGCTCAGTGGCTTTAGTCACAGTATAAATGTTGTTGCAAATTTAGAGGAACTACTTTTGAAGTGACCTCATGTTCCCAGAGTTGTAGAAGGAACTTTCTACCAGTAGTTCATACCTTGAAGCTCTTACATTGTCTCTGCTTGAATCTAAGTCAAACTTTTCATACCTTGTTCTGAAATGAAGCTTCTCACAGATTTTCAATGCCCTTTAATGCAGAATTGCAGCATCACCTGGCTAGCTTCTTGGCTTTCGAAGTATTTCTTTAAATGCACCTCAGTCTTCGTCTTACCTGGCCCTGAGAATCCTTGCTGTTTTGTTAGAACTGTCTGCACTACGTTTGGGGTTTCATTGCATGCTTTGCTGTTCTGTTGTTACAGGGTTACTGCTAAATTTTGGACTGCTGATGTACATTTTTATAGGGTATTTCTTGGTTTTTTTGAAAGAGAATTCTGACTTGGGACTCAAAATAAGTTATGTGAACCAAGCTTAGCATATTTTCTGCTAGCTGTCCTTGAGGGAACTAGGAAAGACAAATTATTTTGTGTAAATTTGCAAGTACATTGAGTGTGGTTTGGTCTCTGTCTTTCTGTAGCAAAGACCATTTAAATCAGGAAACACTCCTGAAAAGAAAAATGGATATTCAGAAGGAGTGTAAAATGTGTATGCAGAGTTTACATTTTTATTACTCATTTTTGTCTCAATGTGTCTACAGCTGAAATTCTGGAATTAGCGGGAAACGCAGCACGAGACAACAAGAAAGGAAGAATTGCCCCCAGACACATCCTCCTGGCAGTTGCAAATGATGAGGAACTGAATCAGGTACCCGCTTACATTTCAGTGTGAGAGTTACATGCTGTGGCATGAATGAAGCTGCTGCCACGGAAGGTTAGAAATGGTTTAGTCTGACACATGAATGAGAACATAATTATTAGAGCAGAAGAAGACAAGTTTGTGCTCACTTGAATAAAAGCAGACAAAAAAAGAAAGTTCTAAGATATCTCATCTTAAATCCTCTGGATATAAATTTTGCTTCTTTTGTAGCTTTTAAGTCCTGTTGAAGTGGGTAACCTTGATGCTTAATTTTTTCCTCAGAGCCATCCAACACTTAAAGAATATGTGCCTTATGGAAGACCTTTTTCCAAAAGCTGTAGAAATGTGTGTTTTCTATTATACTGGCTTTGAGGCCCAACATGGGTAGGGACTCGCTCTCTGTTATTGCTGCCTCCAGGACTGCCTCCTGCTCCATATGCCCAAGTCCTACCAGCACCCAGACTGTGGTTTGCAGTGCTCTGACTCTGAGGATCACTTGTGGGATCAGTTCCTCTGAACTTGCTGAGTGAGAAGAGAGATCTTGGGCTGTGAATTGGAGTATTCAGGGGTGCTGGAAAGGTTCAGTCAGAGTCAGAGGATCTCTTCTTGGTTGGCCCCATGACATCATTCACGCTTTGAAAGATTCCTGCACTTAATTTGGCTGCTTTAAATAATGTAAGTGTGGTGCGCATGAAGTCATCTAGCTCTGTTTCCAGTCAAGGGGACTGAAAAGTCAAAACAGAGGCTGGGAGACGGGAAAGCCTGCTAACACTACCAGCCCAAGTCCTACTCCATGGTGCTGGCCACTGACCTGTGAACTGGGTACTAGATCTACTGTTGTCCATTAGGAATTAACCAGGTTTTGTCCTCCAGATTATTTTTCCTGCTGTTCACCTCTGCAAAGCAGGTTTGGGAGGCTCATACTTGCTTTCACTGAAACTGTTTCCCTGACAAAGGGATATGCAACCAGTCCTTCTTTGAGCTGGGCTGTGGTGTAATCTTTTTTTAAGTAGCCTGCAGGCACCTACCGTCTCCTACCCTCATTCACTGCTTGTGGGTCATCAAGAACAGGTATGCAGAAAGACCAGCACTGGAAGAAAGAACAGCAATTCACCAGTACAGTAATGGAGTTCTCTGGGATGTGCTGGCTGACCTTGCCATCACCTGCCAGGTTTCTTGTTATTGTAGATTTTCTCCCTAATACTTTTTTTTGTTTTTTTCATAATAAAGGGACAAGGTGCAGTGCTTTAGGAAGTGTGGACTCTAATTGCATATGCATAATGTAGTCTGCAAAAATAGCTTGGGTACAAACTAAGAGAATCTGATTTTCTCCTTTACACTGCTTCTCCTTGCAGTTGCTAAAAGGTGTGACTATTGCAAGTGGAGGTGTCCTGCCCAGAATTCAGCCAGAGCTTCTAGCCAAGAAGCGGGGCACCAAAGGCAAATCTGAGACCATCCTTTCCCCTGCTCCTGAGAAGAAGGGAAGGAAATCCATGGTGAACAAAAAGAGTGGGAAGAAAGCAAAGTCTACCAAGGCCCGGACACCCAAAAAGGTGAGCATGAGGCAGATATGGGGTTCCAGAGGTGTGGGAGAAGGGAGTGGATCAAAACCAACTGAGATTATTAGGAGGAATAAATTAGTGCTTCTGTATTGTTTGTTTGTAACAACTGGAAGTGGAAGGTAGGAGTTGATAACAGACACACCAGGGTTTTTTTTTTTTCTCTAAACTTTAGAACTAAAGGCAAACACAGTATTTTTAAAATGAGTTTTCATAACAAAAACCTTTAAAGCTTTGAGGGAAACTTTTCAGATTTCCATGTCACCCTTTCTTGATGACTGTGTAGAATCTCATTATCGCCACACTAACTGTGTGGCAGTGAGCTCTAGCTTTTAAAATAAAGGAAGCTGTATTTTAAAACATTTTCTACTTGAAAGGTGTCAGGCCTGCAGCACTGTACAGTTACTGGGTTGCTGATAAAGTTTTTTTCTCTGTCCGGAGAACTTGTCCTGACATGGTACATAGAAGTCCTTTTGACAAGCTCTTTGTTTCATGTGTTCTTAGGTGTGCTGTTGTTAATGGTTTTTAAAAGACTTGGAAGAAGAATAAATGAATTGGAACTTGACCACTGCACCTTCCCTTACGGTTGTCCATCCTCTGTCACCATCCAAAATGGTTTAATTTGTTAAAGCAGTAACAGCAGATCTGTGCTCTCGGTTTGTCGTTCCAGAGCACGCATCTGAAAACACTGCTAAATTTTTGGTTGGTAGGATTAAATTATATTAATCTTTGACCTAAGCTTTTTAAACTTGTGTTAAGCATATCTTTATGGAGGCCTCTAATCTTTAATATATTTCCATAGCTGAGAATATACAGAAACAACTTAAAAAAAAGAAAACAGAGTTGCTTAATAAGATGCTTAATAATATTCCTCTGTGTATGGATCTCAGCTACCACCTTATTTTGAATTGTGCACGTGCAGTGTTTGGGACTTTTTAGGCAGAGTTAGCTTTTTGACATACCTTAAAGCAAATATTGAGAGATGTGAGGAGATGCTCCTGCAGCCCTGGTAGGAACAGGTTTGTTGCTCCTGGAGCTAGGCTGCATGAGGGAGTGTGTCGCACAAAGGGGACTTTGCGTTCAAACTTCACCTATTAGTTACTTAATTTTGTCATTCTGACTGCTTATATGGAGGTGTAATGGCTCGCTCCTCTCAGTATGGATTCGTGATTTATTATCTGAAACTTACCTTTTTCAGTTCATAAAGTTGTTTTTTTCTTCAGATTGGAGCATTTGACTTGTTAACTAAGCTACTAAGTTTGATTTGGTATGAGCTCTGTTGTTAACAGCAAAAAATAAACTAGCACACGCCCACCCCTAAGTACAACCTTAATTGTTACTGAAACTACAGATGGATGTGGGTGTCCTGACTCTTAATGTAACTACAAACGTATGTAATGCCTCAGATGAACCACTGATGTTTTAGCATTATATAAACAGTGGAGACCTCTGTTGTCACATAATCTTTGGGGATTAAAAGGCTATGAGCAATATATTGATCTGATAAGATCATTGCTGAATTATGGTAAATGTTTACTTTTTTTTTTTTTGAGAGTTCTTGCTTTTTTCTTTCCTCAAATAGAACAAACAAAAGGACAATGAAAAAGAAGGAGCTTCAAATTCAACATCTGAAGACGGACCTGGAGATGGTTTCACTATCTTGTCCTCCAAGAGCCTTGTGCCAGGACAAAAGGTAATACAAAGTTATGACAGATTGGGATCACAGCAATGGAGCCTAGCATAAATGGAACAATGCTTTTGATCTAACACCAGTACAAGATCTTCTATACATTCTCCCTTAGTAGTCCTAAATTTAAGGTCAAAACTCACTCAAGTCATGGGCGGGTAGAGGGTCTCAAAAAATATGTCTGCAGATAAAAAATTTCCAAGACTAGTACTGGGCAGCCTCTCTTCTCTATAGAGCCATACTGATTCACTTCTTGGTTCATTCTTACTAGAGTTTTGTTCAGTTTGGACTTGGCTGCATCGTGCCTGGCATACTGACAAACCAGGTTTAACCTTCTAGGCTGTTTATTATTTATAAAAGAGTATTTCTGGGCCAGGTCCCAGGATCACCCAGAACTTCCGTGTGTTGGTTTGTGCCAGAAGCCCTGTGTACTCTGAGAGTAGGCTGTGGGACGCTGCTCTCTCACTGTTCAAATTGAGAACCTCGCAAGACCTGCAGGCCATGTCATGCATGTCACAGGCTGTGACACCTTGCCTGGCCAGAATTACAAAACTGTCCCACCAAAATGCCTGCATGTCCTTGGTGCCCAGCCAACTGTCTGTCCTATATTTCTTTTTTTTCCCCCGGACTCACCAAGAGGGAGAGGTTTCCGCCTTCCTTAATTTTTGGACCCTCTGAATGGAACTGGAGTTTTTCTTACAGATTTAACAATGGCGTTATAGTCAAGATGATATTATTATTAGTATAAGTGTGCCTTGGAAGAAGTGAGGTGTGCTGGGCATGTGTTCAGCAACTGGAAAACCTTTTTAATAATTTTTAGGATTTCTCTTCTCTGTTGTTGCTCAAAGTGATAAGGCTGTGAGATCTGGGCAGCAGCCTTTTTTGAGCACCTTAAGACATCAGGTTTTGGCCAGTTCCTGTATCCAGATATGTTGGTGGGTAAAGCATTCCTTATTTTATTTATGATTGGAACTGAAAAGTTAATTAATTACTTAAGTCACGAAGCCTTTACAGATCAGAATAGTGTTCAGCTCTTCTCAGCCTCTGCGGTACTTTACTGGGGGCAAGTGTTTCTACAAGAAAAAAGCTTTTTAATTTTAGCATTTTTCTCTTTAAACAAAAGCATTTCCAAAGTTAGCCTTTTCTCTTCAAAGAGTGATGCTAGAACATAAATTTTCTAGCAGTAACTTCCTCTGGAGCAAGCTCCCAAGCTGTGGGCATATCGCAAAATAATCTTAGTGTTGTACAAATTATTTAAAGGCTAAAAATCAGAATCATGCATATTGGACACAACAAAACTACTGATCTCGGAAAGACTGAATCCAGCCTTCTTTCATTTTAGTTTTTTGGTATGAAAATTATTTTGCACTCAGATTAGTATTTTATTTTTTTCTGCTCCTTCATTATTATTTTACAGCTTTCTCTGACACAGAGTGACATCAGCCATATTGGCTCCATGAAAGTAGAAGGCATTGTTCACCCTACAACTGCTGAAATAGACCTCAAGGAGGAAATAGGTGAGGCTCTGCTACATGCAGAAAAAAACAGATCTAGAGTTGGAACAGTAGCTGTTCTACTAGCTGCCTGCTGAGATCCCATCCTATTTCATCTGAATCTTCCCCAGGCCATAAAATATCACTTACAACACTTCTGAAAATGAGGCTGGATCTGACTGGGTATAACAGGCTAATCACTAATTTATAATTTTTTAATGATGCCTTACGACAATCAAAACACAGATAATTTGTTGAAACACATGAGCAGCAAAGGTGTAAATAATCATTATTGAGGTCTTTATTGGATTATTTTTACATTTGCCTCTGAAAATTCTGTGACAAAAATTATATATTAATAACACTTCTAATTATGCTTTTCATTGTAGGATTTTACATATGTTAGACAAAGCCTCATACTGCTCATGTGAAATAGGAAATATTATTACTGCTAGTGTACAAATGTGGGAATTGAAGCAAGAGGGAGGTAAACGGTATATGCGGTCAGTCACCAAGACCTTCACTGACATCCTAGCTGTGTTTATTTCAGAAATTATTAGGGTTTGTTTGTTGAGTTGATTTTGGAGGCTGAAAATCTGAGTCCTGAAATACCACTGCTCTCTATTTTAGCCGTCAGTCAGAGTAAGATAGCATTCTTACAGATAATTATATTAAAGTAATTTCCAGTAATAACATACAGGGGTTTTTAAAACCAATAACAAGTAAAATTTATCTGTGGCTAGATGGTGGTAAACATAAACATCAGCTGCTGCTGATACTGCTGCATATGTGTACAATGTTCTTCTTTTAAATAATGTAGAATTTTTTTTTCATGCTGATACTTCTGAACCTAGGCCTTTTGCTCTGTGTCCTTGCAGGCAAGGCATTGGAAAAGGCTGGAGGCAAAGAGTTTTTAGAAACAGTGAAAGAGCTTCGTAAATCTCAAGGACCTTTGGAAGTTGCTGAAGGTAAAGAGAATACTACTCTCTCTCTCTTTTGGAAACAGCTTGTTTCGTATATTCTTTCCTCTGGGCATTCTGATCTGATCTTGATTATGTATGTGCCTTTGCTTATGTGATGTAAGTGTTTCTGTTTCTTCTTCGAAGCTGTTGCTGATATGGACAGCCTGCTTAGAAGGAAAAAAAAGGAAGAAGTAGGATACCTGTGTGCTGTGCACATTGTCTTTGGGCTTCTAGGTGCCACCATTAAGTTACAGCAGGCTGATTAATTTATCTTAGGCAGTTCCTGTGTGGGAGTCCAAAAATTAAGGAAAACTTGTGCTGTCACCTGTGTGCCATCTTTCCCATCCTGTTGTACTGCATTGCTTAGCAAGCATGAGAAACAGCTCTCAGTCTAACATATGAGCTATAAGAACAGTGATAGTTTATAAATTATTCTGCTTTATGCATATTTCATAAAGAGTATAATTCAAACAATTACCTTACTTTGAACACAAACAAAGACGTGATAAGATCTTTAGAACTGGCAGGCTTTTTGGAAGAGCAGTTGCTGCTCTTCGCCCAGGCACTACAGCTACATTATAGAAATACAAATTGCAGAAGAGCTCCCTTTAAATGTTGAACACATCTGTAGCATTGAATAGTTTTGAACTTGAGATTATGCTTTCCTTTGTGAACAAATTAAACCAATTCATAGGGGTTGAAGGTGGCTGGAGGGCAGATGGAGAGAATTTACAGTGTATCTTCTAGTGCCTTATTTGGCTTAGTGTCTCAATACTCAAGAAACTAAATGCTTTAAATAGTCTAGTTTTGGAAAATTCCTAAATTAATAGCTTAATTTTACAATCTCAAATGACAGAGAAATTTTTGTACAAGATATTTTGCTTCGCTGTTGCATTGAATCTAAAATGTATGCCTTAACATCAGATTAAACTACTTTTCACTGTCAACATCACTACCTAACTAGAAAATAGACTCCTTTTATGCCATTAAGGCCGTCCCAGGAAAGAAGTTAATCTTCGTTTAATGGATGGGAAAATGTATGCTCTCAAGCATTGTGTTGTGTTGCTGTGTTTGAAATTGCCCCTCCTACTGGTTTTGAGGCAAGCGATAGTAAATGGTTGTTAATCAGTGGAGGTCTACCGCAAACACTTGAGCTCCAGCCTAGTGGGCTTGGATTCAAGTGCAGCTCGCAGGATACCCATGTTGTTCTCAGTCAATTTGCTCCCCATGGTTAAAGGCCTGACATTTCTCTTCTGGTTGAAATTTAAGTGACACAGTGAAGCATTAGACACAATGCCTCTGTGCCTGCAACAGAATTCCTCTGTGACTGTAGACAGGTGAATAAGTCCAAGTTTTTAATCCTTGGGCATTAATTGCACAGCTAATTTCAGAGTCTTTAACTGGAGATTCGTGAGACACAGATTTTCAGGAGTGCTAATGTTTAGAATTGCAACAAAAGCAAGCTGATGCTATGCTGTGGGCTCTGCAGGTCCTGGAGAAATATGCTTTCTGAAAAATTTCTCTGAGATTTCTAATGGAACATAACTAGCAGAGATTTTCAACAAGTATCTTTGATTTTCATGTTGTTGTCTAAAATTACCCAGCTATGAAGTGGGTCTAAATATTACTCCCTAACACTCCTGAGCTGTAATGCTGATGCAGGATGTTTGTGCAAAGCGTTCAGATAAGGCTGCGACAGCACTACAGAAATGTCTATTGGGGGATTAATAATACCATGTTCAGTGTGAGGTTTTGATATTTTGCATAAAACAAATCCGGAGGCCATGCTGAATGAGAAAGCTATAAAATATTATTGAATAACTGTGTGTTAACCAAATGAGCCTCAGGTTCTTTGGTCTCCAAAGAAATAATAATTGATCACAAAAGTAATGTTGAGACAGTCAGATTATGATTGCAAGTGAGCCACTGTGGCATATTTTAATTCCTAATTTATTTCTTTGGAGAGGTTATGTAATTAAGAAAGTACATTGCATTGAGAGATCATTGCAGGTTGGTTTCTATTCAAAACTAAATGTTTTATTTTTGTTTGTGTTAGCTGCACTTACTCAATCTAGTGGCCTAGCAGCAAAGTTTGTCATCCACTGTCACATCCCACAGTGGGGCTCAGACAAGTGTGAAGAGCAGCTTGAAGAGACTGTAAAGAACTGCTTAACAGCCGCAGAAGACAAGAAGTTGAAGTCTGTGGCTTTCCCCCCGTTTCCCAGTGGCAGGTATGACTCTTTCTGCTTTCTGTATTGGGTAGCAATGGTGTAATTAGTGATCAGAGAGCTGCTGCTGTGATAGAGGTACCCTCTGGTCTGTGGCACAAAAAGGGCTGGCCCTGCCTCCAGAGAGGGCTGTGGCAGGTGCCATCTCACACCGTGCTTCTCCAGATTAAAGGAGCTTGAAGTGCAGTGTTTGCATGGAGCGACCAGAAAGCCTTTATGTAGAGAAATGAGCTAACCCACAGGAGAGCTGAGTGGACTTGTGTTTTCTATTGATAGGCAGTAATTTTTTTTCTTCTACTATGGGCCTGCACCACCTCAGTTTTTAGGTCCCTTCATTTTGCTGTGGTGAATCTTTTTAAAACTACGTTCATGCTGATAAGATTATACCAGCATAATACTGAAGGCAAGTAACAGTGACACCACCTGAGCTAGGTAAATGTGGGGTGTTCTCTTAAGTTATCCTGAGAATATATATGAAACAGACTAGTCACACAAAATGTTTTCTTTCAAAATAACATCAGTTTCTTACATATATCTCTGCTTCAAAAAGGGAACTATGAAACCAACTGTGAAACTACACATTTCTTTCTTGATACCTAGCAAATAAAATGTGCTTGACTAAGAAAGCCAAAGTTGGTTGTTTTTTATTTTTTGGTTTTTGTTTTTTTTTTTAAATCCATCAGTTCATTAATCTTGCTTGGTCATCTCTGATCACAAGAAAGCTTACACAAGTGCTGCTAACTGCAGAAGTTGTTCTTTCATGTTGGAGTTCACATGTTTGTAGTTACATTTCAAATTAAACATATGTTTCTGTTAGTCATGTCCAAAGAATAGGGTACATAGTACAGTCCAGTTGTGTTGGCCCAGTAGTGAATAAAATAAAAGTAAAACTGCATCTTGATCAGTGAAATCACCACACATCACTGAATACACAGGAGATGAGAATGCCATTTTTACACAGATGCTTTTCAAGACAAAGTAATATCTTTATGGATCAGGACAAAAGAATCAATAGAAGGGCAGTCCAATTTGTAATGATTTTTCTTCCTTTACACACAGATCTTTTTGTTTGTAGTGTTCAGTCAAAGCAAAATGGGATAAATTTGCCACTCTTTAATAATAAAGTTCATCTTTCAAAAATGAACTGTGGCTTTTAATGCCAATAGAAATAGCCTCTGTAGACCTCATGTCTCCTGTGAGCATTATCTAAGAAAAATCCAGTCTTGGAGCATTAGTCTTAACGCAGATCTGTCTGCTCCTTAGTTCGATTTTACTCTGTTGCTCTTACAATTACTCCTGCTAACAGAAAATTGAGTAGGTCTTACCGGGTGCTGCTGGTTTACACTTTATTTATCAAAGGACCACAAAGTTGTCTGAAAAAAGGCAGAGTTTTTCAAATAAGACTTCATAGTTTTACTGTCATTTTATTCTACCTATATATCTACACTATAAATGCTGGTTTTGTTGATCAGGAATTATGCTGTATCAGTTCTGTGAATTTTCATCTTTCTTCTGTCCCATCATAGGGACTGTTTGCAGTAACTGATAGCAATAGATGGGATATCTCAGTTGTGCCAGATGAGATGGGTTATAATTTCAGTTATTTTCACTGAAGTCTCAAGCAAAGTATTTTTGATGAGAGTGAGGAAGTCAGCTAAGTAGTTGATGGGAATTTTTTTTTTCAGTTTTCAACTAAAAAATAATCATCCCTTGAACTTACTAGCTTGCCCAGCATGGCATGGAAAAGTTTAATTCTAAGGGAAAGCGTTAAAAAAACTTCATGTGGCTATAAAAAGTAGAAGCAAATAAAACCAGTAACTATGCCAGCAAGGAAACTAACACAGCAGCAGATGAATATTGCTATCAAAACCTTGGGGTTTACTTCTGGGATTTACACATTGCAAAACCGCAACTGGCACTATCTTAACAGCAGCCTGTAGCTGGCACAGCTATGGCTTGGTCCTTTCAGCATCATGTGTGCATAATGCTTGCACAGGTGGCTGACACTCACTTGTTCTCTTTTCTTCCCCTACCACACAGAAACTGCTTCCCAAAACAGATGGCAGCCCAGGTGACTCTAAGAGCTATTTCCACCCATTTTGATGGCACCAGCTCTTCCTCCTTGAAGAACATTTACTTTCTGCTCTTCGACAGTGAAAGTATTGGCATCTATGTGCAAGAAATGGCCAAGCTAGACACCAAGTAGCAACGGCAGCCAAATGAAACTTTATTTTTCAAACAAACTTGAGTAGCATTAAAAACATTAGAGGTGGGTTTTATTTTTTCAATGTGATGAGGAGGGGGGAGTGGTAGTAGTGTGATGTGTTGTGACTTGATGAAGAGCTGTGACTAGAGGTGAGAGGGGTTTAGTCCAATTTCTTCATGCTGTCAGCATCCTCTAGCCATTTGTATCACTTTAAGCAATTGAGTTACCATCTCTTTTCAGGAGTTTGTTTAGTGTCCCTTGATACTTTAGAAGTTCTTAAAGAGTAACCTCATTTTAGATTTGTAGTGATGGGTTTTACACACAAACACATGCACACACTTTAAAGAAAGCTCTTTAAACTGTTCTGCTCCCTTTTCCCCTCCCTTGAGGGCAGATGGTAAACGTCTGCCTCCAGCCCCCAGAGAGGGGAAAAGGAATTTGGAAGTGATGCATGAGGAGCTTCTGTTTTGCTTTTAGCTCACAATAATCTCTGTATTTACTGAGGATATTTCATGGTGATTTTGTTTGTTTTATAAGAAAAAAAGAAAAAGATGTGTCAAGTGTGGTTATTGTTATAAAACCTACTTTTGCTCTGGGAATTTCTCATCTTAAAAAAAACCAAACAACCAAACAAACAAAACAAACCAACCCGAAACAGCAGCATCTGTAATTGAGTGCTTGCTGTAACATACTTTGTGTGCAACTAACCAGCTCTTCTTGCTGAAGTTATAGCACTAAAAGTGACATAATTTACGCTGTTGTAGAGATATTGACGCAAAGCTGCATTATATTTTCTGGCGTTCCAGGATTACCACAGCCGCTTCAAGGCTTGAGGCAGGTTTTCCCCAGGCAGTGCTGAGAGCCATTCTTCCTGCATGCTGCAGACCAGATTTCGGATCAGTAAGAGGCAGGTATTTTTTAGAAAAGCGAGAGTAGAGAAAGCCAGGGAAAAAACACATAACAAACAAACCACAGAGATTTTGAAAGCCACAGTGTTTATTGTTACAAATTAAGGTAAACCAGGTTTCTTGCTCAGAGCTATCTCAATAAGGAAGTAAAAGAAACATTCCTTCCCTAGTTTTTATCATAAAACCTTCTGTGCACTTCATTGGGAAAGTGCCTCCTTCCCCTTTACAGCAAGGCAGGGCCCCTGTTTCATGCATCACACTGGCAAGTGGCTTTAGGAGGTGCTGCAGGAGACACTATTGGTCTGTCCAAGCAATAAAAGTGCACCCTCACCCTCTTCCAGTTGCTGAAGTCCTTGCTGCTTTGTTACTGAAGCCCTCTTAAGAGGGCATTGTCTGTCCCATCATCTTCCAGCTCTTGGAGACAAACAGGTCCCGGCTCTTAGCAATGGTCACCAAGAGACGTCCCACATAGTAACCGTTCACCTGGCCTACGCCATCATTCCTGCCCATTGAAAGGAGGAATGTTAGTGACCCTGGAAAGAAGATGTAGAGGTTTAAGTTAAGCATTTTCAAAGCTAGGTATCAAACCCTACTACCTGTAGGTGTTGCACTTCCTCCAAGCCCTCCCTTCCCACTCTGCCTCATACCCACACTACTGCTAAGCACCGGACCCAGGTGCTGCATGACAAGAAAAGAAGCAGGCCCAAGGAGAACTACTCACAACTCTCCTTTCTACCATCTGCTTTACCTGTTTCAGTAATAGGATTGCTGAAGGATTGATTTGTCTGTATGTGTGATACAGAATCATTCTCTCCTCCCAAGAGGAAGTCCAAGAGGTAGACAACAAAATGTAAGTAGAAAGAAATGTGAAAAGACAGGGCAGCCTTTAAAAACCAAACTGCTGTCCAGATATCCTCCATACATGTGGAACAGCTTTAAGCATAGTCATGGTAAGTATTTACATCAGTTGCTTATTAGTGAGACCCATCACCTAGCTAGATTTCTGAGACTAGATTGTTCAGTTTGTGTTTGCTGTATACTTTTAAGGGGAGAAGGGAAGAGAAACTCATCTCCTTGTTCCTAGGATTCAATTGGACAGTAAGCAATTTAAAGAAAAGGAAACAAGTTTGATGAATAGGAGACACCCACCAGTAGATTTATCAGGAAAACATTAGTGAAGAAAGGACGTGTTGCATCTGTAGACTGACACAGGTAATTAACGTCTACAGTGTCTTTGTCAAGAACTACGATGAAGCCTGAGCTATAAGCTTATATAGTCAACCCCAATTGTGAGTTTCTTCACCTCTAATCAGTGCCCCATGCAAGCTGTAATGTCTACGTGTTAAACAGCCGTTCCCTGCAGAAAAGCAGCCCAACAGTTAAGGCCAGGAGCTAGGAGATTACCTTACCTGGTTCGTAGGTTTTAAGAGGCTTATGTGTCAGGCTGTTGATTATATTTGTCACCGCGATGTTGGCATGGAGCCCAGCATGGTAGGCCATCTTTGGTTCCTTTAGATCTGCACAGTCCCCAATGGCATAGATGTGTTCATACCCTTCCAATTGGAGGTGCTTGTTCACTTTCAAAGCACTGTTACTTGCCATTTTGTCCCCTGTTTTGCCAAACAGTGAGTTTTCAGAAGGAGCTTTTGTGTTGCTGGTTGTGGCCTGAGACCCCAAAATGCTGATGATGTTATCAAACATGTCATTGACACAAAGTGAGGAATTGTTTTTTCACCCTCTTTTCTACACGTCAGGGAAGAGATTATTTTTTTCCTTGCTGTAGTTATTTATTTGCAGTCTCATGCAATGAATCATCCTTTGATATTTCAGTAGAAACATAAGGGAACATTAAGAGCTAGTGTACACAGCCTGAAAGACTGTATAATGGTCCTGCTGCTCCATAGTGGTAATGCCATAACTGAAACTGGGCTGTAAGAGGATTTGGATGGGAGATATATCACTGAATAATTGGCTGAATGCCCTATGATGCTGATCTAGTTCAGCAAGAATGCTGAATGTGCTGAGCCTATTTTTGCTGAGAACTCAGCAAGCTTGTATCTAGGATGAAATCCTGGCCTTGACAGCAGGAGTTACCATCAGCTTCTAGGTGTCATCTGCCTCATTCCTTGGATTATTATTAGCGGGAGGAGCTGGAGAAGACCGTTGGCCACTTGACCTATGGTCTGTAAGTTTCTGAAGGTTGCATTTCACAGTGAAGTATTTAATGTGATGTTAGAGCATTTTCTGTATCATGGAATAACTACTGCAGGTTGTATAAGGTTGATTCCTAACCTCACAGTGCTCAACTGCAAGACATTGCAGAACTGTGTTACTTCTCCCCACCCAGTGTTTTTTTCCTTACCAAATGCAGCCGCGTACACTGAGGAGTTAATCTTTATCCCTGTGCACAGGACCACCATGTCGGTAACCACCTCAGTGCCCTTTTCTGTCTTTACTACCATATCCTTCTGGAACTGGTTTGGCCGGAGGTTTTCCACGTTGCTGACCTTTTCACCTGTTGCAAGAGAGATCTCTGGGTCACAAACCTTTATTAGGCTTCTGTTTCCAGCTAGCCCAGATGGATCTAGAGTCTACACGTCAGAAGCGTCCTTACATACGTACTTAATAAGAGGTGCACTCCTTTTCTGAGGAGAATCTCTTTCACCTCCTGACGGACGCTATCTAGCAGCTCCACATCAGCTAGTGCAATTTTTGAGTGAATGAGGGTGACCTGTTGGGGACAAAACAGCAAATGGAGAGACACAGGAATAGGACAGGACTCGCCGCTTACTGGGTGGGAGCAGCTATAGCTAGCTTCTTCCTACCCTGCTTATTGCCCACAGAGAGTGAGCCAGTGAAAGGCATCTAGTGCCAATAACTGCTGGTGACAGGCTATAGGGTGCTCTCAGAAGAGCAGGCAGTAGGGGCGAAGGCTGCCATTGCATGGAAACTCCTGATTTGCAGTGATCTCAGATACCTCCAGCAGGACCATCACGGAACAGTCTCAGAAATAAGGATGAAGTTAATGGTAAGTAATATGCTACTACCTCTTTGGCTGGGTATTCTGTTTTGATCTCTGCAGCCATCTCGACTCCAGCAGCACCACCTCCCACGACCAAGATGCGCTCAGATTTCTCAATCTTTAAGTAAAGAGGAAACTCATGTTACAAGAGAACTGGTAAGTGCTGGAAGTCAGATGCTTCAGCATCTGTGAACAGACCTTTCTGAGATACAGCAGTGGCCCACCAGCAATAAACGACCTAGTTCATTAAGAGGAAACAGAAAACGAGAACCCTATGCACTCTTCCTGTCTACCCTGTAACACTGCTGAGCATTTCAGGTTTCCCCTTGTGCATACAGCTGATCTTTCCCTGGGGCATGCAGAATGCTAGACAAGCTAGCATGTGCTCCTTGTCCTGGCCTGTCCCAGCAGGCGTTGTGGTCTCTTGTTCTTAGACACAGATGTCTCCAGATGTGTTTGGGACAGGGAGGCTGAATGAAGGCAGGCACCGCTTCCTAGGAAATAAGTTGATTCCTCACCTCTTTAACCATATTTTCATAGGTCTGGATGGCACTTTCCATGTCAATGACTTTGTTGAACTTTCCAGGGAATGGCCCATCACTGCCAGTTGCAAGAATGAGATGGGAGTAGTGAAGCTCCTGCAAGGGTGGAAGGTGGAATAGGATGTTAGACCCCTTAAAAACACAGCCTGGAACACAGTTGTTGCCTCCTATTCACTCATTCCCTCTCCTCCAGCCCTCCTTGATAACTGGGAAAGTACTTGCCACTGTTAGTGATTTTAGGAAGAGACCTGATCCAGGTGACACCAAGTAACTGCCTTCCTCAGGATCTGAGAGAAGCACCATTCTTCAGGTGAGCTGGGAGCTTTTAAGAAATTACCATAAGTTTACAGGAAATAACCTGATGTTTATGCCAGACACTGAAGTTACCAACACAGCTGGCTCCAGAGACTAACTTCTCTCCTTCCCCCTCTTCTGAGCAGAGGTGAGATGCTCTGGCTGAGAAGAGTTATCAGAGCTGCTGCCCTTGTTTCTTGACACAGTTAGATAAGGATCTGAGCTGCAGGGTTAATTGTTGAGCTCTAAATCCAGAATAAGAATAAAAGCTACAGGTAAAAATAAAAGCTTATCTGAGCAGGAGATTGGGTGCGGTATTTACTGCACACCCACATCCCAACACAGCTCCAGGCCACTTAGCTTGGCCAGAAGGGATGGTGCCATTCAGCACATGTGGGGAAAGGTGGGCTCTGTTGCCAAGCTCTTCAGGATGATTAAATGCTACAGTATTTCGCCACGTTGCCTCTTGCTTTTAGAGGAGCTGGCTGTGGGTCTGCTTCTATCTGGGGCAGCCTTCCATAGGGTCATTGCTTGCATTCCTCTCTCCCTCCTAGTGTGACAGGGCCAGTATTAAGCAAGAGCGTTTGTGTATCTGCCCACAGGTGGCAGAAACCTAGAGGAAAGGATCAGTGACTTCCCAGAGGGCCTGGATTGTGGCTTGTTTGGGGTCAGGCGTTTCAGCCAGACGGAGGATTACGTCAGAACAGGAGCCCTATTGTGTGTGTGAGCTGAGCCCGGAGGTATCGTATGGGTCAGGGTTTGCGTGCTCAGCTGACTTGCGCTGTAGGAGATCTGGGGGTGTTTGCCACTACTGAACAGCATTCCCGACTCTCACTCAACGTGAGGGCAAAGGTCTGTTTTGTTTTTCCCAGAGCATGACTCTCCTGCACACACACACACACACCCTCCTCTGGCAGATGAGAGTCACACTGCTCTTCCTGCTCAGAGGCACATTTTCTGTAAATGCCCTGTGCTCCTGCTCTTCTTGCTCTTTCCACTGACACCCTTCCCCAC